ATCTTTTCATCCTTTATCCAGCTTGTGCTGAGGGAATCCTGCTTTTCAGTCTGATTGGTACTGAAAGCTTCCGTAACTTCGAAAGTTAAAGGGAGGTAGGAGTTCGTATTTGTCATTTTCCAGTCCTGTTGCTTGGTCACATGAAAGAAGAAGGAATTTTATTTCCTTCGCTTTACTCTTCATTAGAATTGTAGTTTTGAGCATAGAAGTTGGGAAATAGTTCCCTAGGGAAGCTAGTAGGCTCCCACTCTAAAATTCTGGTAAAATGACAATACCAAGACGATTCCTTAACGAAAGAAGAAAGCAACAGCCATTGTTTTCCCTTTGGATTCATTTTGTAGTAAATTTTCAGATATGAATACAGAGGGTTTTTTAAGTGTCTGAGATCTAGAATAAAAACCTGTTTAAAAAAGATTGGCTAATAATTCAGCTTTTAAATGCATTTTGCATTTTTCTGTATCCAGGTCATAGTTTTATCTACCTTTAGCCCTCACAGGGCCTTAGCACAGATGCTGAAGGAGGAAAGAGAATGAAGAGAACTCATGGTTTTTTTCAGTTTTTGACTATTTTTTTTGTTCTTCATCATTTCTTCCTGAACCTGATCCATCTAAAAATCCTTTCAGTCCCCAAGAGTGCCTGGAACCTTAATAACGGAAAAGCAATATAAATTCCAAAATAACCAATAGGGACCTGAAAAGGTTTTGTATCTGCACTAATTGAAAGTAAATGAAAAGAATAACACCATATTGTGAGATATACATCCATACATATGGACAATCAAACAATAGAAAATTATATATCATTTCTTAGAGCTGGGGATATAATGCACTGTACAATCTTTTTTTTTCCGTTTTTGCCAAAGTGTGTTTTAGCATTGCACACTGCTTTAAAACAATACAAGTGGCTTTATGTGTTCTGAATATTTCTGCCATAAGAAAATGCAGTGAGTGGGTATTGAGGGGGGTGGGGAGGGGATTCACCTTGCTTATAACAGTACACTTTAGCTTGCAAGTTACTGTGCTCAGTAATGCTGTATTTGAATTCTTAAATTGTTTTGTGTCGTTATTGAAAAACAATAATGAAAGAATATAGATAGAACAAATAGCATTCAGAAGTTGAAAAAACTTGAATGAAATGGATTTTATAGAAAGCTTTGACAGTTCTTTTCAAATGCATTATTTATTTTATTTGTGCCATGCATTTTTCTCACCAAATGACCTTACCTGTAATACAGTCTTGTTTGTCTCTGTTTACAACCATGTATTTATTGTAATGTACATACTGTAATGTTAATTGTAAATTATCAGTTCTTATTATAACATCATCCTTGTCAGGGTGGTGTTGCTATATTTGGAAACTCTTGGTGAGAGAATGATTATTGTGTATACATATTCCTTGTACATGTTTTTTTGTCCTGTAATATATTCTATGTCACCTTAGAGCTTGTTTATGGAGGATTCAAGAAAAGTATGAAATACATAAAGATATATCAATAAAAAAAGCTGCAGGTCTTTGGTCCCAGGGCTGTGCCTTAACTTTAAACAATATTTTCTTCTGTTTTGCTGCATTTGAAAGTAAGGTAGCTGTGGGGCTAGGGCTGGGCATTTCTACCATATTTTTAGTTGCTAACTGATGAGGTTACTCACATGAGCTAATATGCATGGTACTACAATGAGTTTTCATTCATGACCCTACTTGGAAGTTCAAGCTTTTCCAGACTTCTGGCAATATAATTGTATTGCCTCTCTTATTATCTTTTTACAGGCTATCATCAGGGATTATTGCAGCCATTTTTTGCTCCTAAAAAAAACCCCAAAATTGATGCTGTATTTCAGTACTGAATTGCACTGAAACAGCTTTGGAAAGCATCTCTGATAAGCATTTGATGTTAATGCATATTAGGAAATGGAATAATTGGAATTAAAAGGGTATAACTGATACACTTTTACGGTTATCTGTAATATCCCTTCTTTATTTAGTAGCACAAATTATCACTGTATAAGCAGAGTCCATGAAGGAGGACAAAAGACAACTTTAATCTTGGAAATGCTTTCCAACACCAATATTAGTGTTAGAAGCAGACAAAGTTTTATTTTATATAGATGTATCTAAGGCTTTGTACAGGTGCGTATAGCATAATGCACTAGATCTACAGGAGAGTGGTAAACCCTTAGATCTTTTAATAACACTAGTATTAGGTTTGCAGGTTGGACTGTTCATCTCTTGCTGTTTGACTTGTCACGTTGCTCCAGATTACTTAGAGCTGATATCAGTGAATTTGCCAGAGTGAGGTAAATACCTCTCCTCCATTCCAGCGATGCCCAGCCCTTGTAGCATGCGACTTCTTTGTGAAAGGAGAGATTCTTTTTCAAGGAAAACCAGAGCCTCCTTTTTGACACAAACTGTAGATTTTAGCAGCCCTGGCCCAAAGTAAATTGATTGCTTTTGTTTTAAACGGTATAAAAGGGACACTATATCAACAGAAATCCTGAACAATTTTTTGTTATTGTTTTAATTTGATTTTTCCTTTGGGTATGTCTTGAGAGTGGCAACTTGTGTGAACATTGCACATGACTATTCTTTCACTCGTTTCTTAGCCTCTCTTACAGCCTATGGGATAGTACTGTACATCAATACCTTCATATGAAATTTTATATGCAATGGAAATAAAAGCATGGGTTGATTCTGCCTAGTTACTGTATTTGATTTTCTTTTGCAAGTTAAATTTTTTTTTACATACATACTATAGTTGTGACATCTTAAGAGAAAGCATATTTCCAGAATAATTTGATTACCATATTTTTTTCATCATACTGTTTTGCATAGATAATACAAAATAAATGTGGGGGCAAATCAGAAAAGTCAATGAAACGTGGTATTTCATAAAAAAGTCTAATCCACAAAGGTGCTATGCAGTTATATAGAAAGGCGTTTGATCTCATTTTTCAGGAAATTTTACCATTGGTTTCAGTGGCAAAAGCAGCCTATCCTGAGAAAATAAAACTTCAGCTTTAAAGAAACTAGAAGACTACAGATTGCCTAGAGGAGCAATATGGTGGGATGCCACAAAGAAAGAGTTAACCATAGTTAAATATTGGCTAGACAATGTTGGCTCTAAATGGATGAGAAAAAGAAATTGTTTTTTTAAATAAAATTAATAAATGACAGCTGTTGTCTTGAAGAAGAAATGTGGACTTAATGCAGGTCCAGCTCTTGAAGTGGCTTTCATGCACTTCTCCTTGATCAGAGTTAGGGTTTTGCTGTTTGGGGGGGGTTGGTTGTTTGCTTAACTGAAAATAGTTTCTGATCAAATACAAAAAAATTCTATGTCCATTTTTTCCTCAAGTCTCTTTGATCCTTCTTTGGGTTCGGGGTTAGTTTGCAAGGAGTACCAATCCTTAGGACTCCTTTTTAGTCACACCTTGGTGGCAGAAGAGGCTGGTAAATGCTGTGCTGGGAAGATGAAGGATGCTGCACTGAGCACAGCGGGGTGGATAAACCAGGTGGTGCCTGTCGCTCTTGGCAGGCTCATCCTCGTGTGTTCCCAGTGGCCGTAATGGGAAAATGGTTTGAATACATCATGACTACTGTGAAGGGAAGCGGGAATCCCAAATTCTTGTTGGCACTACTAAGACCTTTTCAGTAAGGGGCTCAGGTACCACAGCTGTGCACGTGGTGGGCCTGAAGCTGACAGGATTAGCCAGCTGCTTCCTACATCCCCTGGCAGCACTTTGTCAGGCAGTCTCTGCGCATGGCAATAATGCGCGAGAATAGGCAAGTTTCAGAGCAAAACCAATATGGAACCCCCATTTCACTGCAGCCAGCTGCTGCTATAGGAGTTGAATGTATTTTTAAACACAGGACTCCAGTATTTCTCAATGAGACAAATAGTCTGAATAGCTGCAGCTTCGTTTGTTAGATCTGTCTGTTGCATTGAAAACAAAAGTCACGCTCCTAGCACACATAGTGTTTACTGGGATGGCCAGCCCAATTTCTTGACCAGCTGTGAATAATTTTGCTTAGTTTTTTTTAGGGGAAAAAAAAAACCAAACAACTGCAACACAAAAGTTCAAAGATGTTATAAAAGCCTTTAGTTAGTTCAATTTAGTTTAGCCTGCAG